CTGTCTCTCTCTCTCTCTCTCTCTCTCTCTCTCTCTCTCCGTCTCTGTCTGTCTGTCTTTCTCAGATATAAATTGTAAAGCACATAAAGTTTGCTGTTAAACTGGAATCTGGGGTGTACAAATATGCTGTTTATTGTTTATTTTTATTATCATAATGTAGCTATTATTGTGATGAGGTCTTCGGAACATGTGTCCCATATTTTGGGAGGTTGGCGGGTGCTCTTCTAGTATGGTCTGCTCCTTCATTCCTATCAAACCTCTATCGTCCATATCTCTCCTCCTCCTTTTTTAAATGTATTTGTTACTCTCTTGTAACATCTCTAATCTTTGGCACTCATATGACCTTTTTGTATTGCAAGTGCCGTAAAACTCTTACTTAAACTAAACATCAATTCCCAAGTGAGACAATTTTCAAAAAGATTTCTCGGTCTGTCTGTTGAAATGTTGTAATCTTGTCAGCCTAAGTTGGTTGTGGCAGGTACCACCTGAATGAGTTATAAATTGCGTTGATGGGGGTGTAAAACATGCACTATCTTTATTTAAAATATTCTCCTCTGTGGATGTGTTGGGCATTAAAGACATTGACGAACGAGCTATTATTATTTATTTATTTATTTTTTTAATTTATCATTTTCATTGTTATTCTATTATTGATATTATCATTATCATAATATATTATAATTTCAATCCGCAGGTTATGGAAAGTGGAAGGGGCAAGTTCTCAACGCCCAGGAAGCCTCGGACCTGTTTGAGGGTCTGAGAACCAACGGATTGCTCAACTATTCCCATGTCCTCACAGGTGAGTCGCCCTCGCCGTGTCTCGCAGAAGAGAACTCCCTGAGGGATGGATGGTTAGCGGGTGTTCTGGTGTGGTTTGCTCCTTCTGTCATGTCAAACGTCTGTCATCCATATCTTTCCTCCTCCTCCTGCTCTTCCTCCTCCTCCTCCTCTTTTATTTTGTGTGTTACTATCTTTAGTTTATAGTAGAGGTTTTACGGCACTCGCAACTGCATAAGGTCATATGAGTGCTGTTACTCTCTAGTGACACCTCTAATCTTCAGCACTTATATGACTTTATTGTTTTGCAAGTACTGTAAAACTCTTGCTAAAACTATTTTTTAAAAGTGGATTTTTATAAAAAGGAATACTCTCTGGTCATATTGACCCGACCCGCTTGATCTGATCTTCGGCACTTATATGACCGCATTGTATTGCAAGTGCCGTAAAAAAAATTCTAAAATTCAAAAGAAAAAGTCAGACTCCGCAATGTCATGTGACAGTTAGTAGCTTTCTCAGCAATTGTTTCATTATAGTTTGGTGTTGGGTTGGGGCAATGCAAGTAAGATCCTGTAAATGTGGCGTCAGTGGCCTAGTGGTTAGGCTCTCGGACTCGCAACTATAAGGTCGTGGGTTCTAATCCCGTCAGGGGCCCGACGTTGTATCCTTGGGAAAGGTACTTTACACGAATTTTCCTCACTTCACCCAGGTGGGAATGGGTACCCGGCTTTAGGCAGCCAAAGATCTTGTCAGTTTGTTAGTGTTTGAGCATTTAATCAGCTGCTTGCACTGTATGCTTCCCAGGAAGCTGAGAATGTTTCGGAGTGTTCTATGGTCTGCTGGGGTAATAATATAGTGTAAAACGCATAGAGCCAGCTGTTGAGCGTGGATATGCGCTTTACAAATACTTTTTATTTTTAAATAACAGTTTTGCACATTATATTTTTATTACGAAAAGTTGCTAAGATATATTCATGTTTTCATTTTATATTATTTGGCTCAAAATGCTTTCATTTCTGCTTATCAATTTTGATTTTGTTTTATAACGATTATGCAAATGCGTTTATGTTTTGTGTCATCTGTTTTCTGTACTGTTTTAGGGTATGTCGGATCGGATTGCTTCCTTCGTAAAGTCGGAGAAGCTGTGAAGGAGATGAAGAGCAAAAATCCAAACTTGATATACGGTTGGTAATCCAATGGTTTTTATTCCTGGATTTTTGCAGCTGTGAAACTTTAGTGGAGCTTATTGTTTTTAGAATGTTCTTATTAGCTTTGTTTGGTGTGGAATAGGATAATAAACTATTCATTCTTTGGGAAGTCTTGAATAACGTTGTGGCTGTCAGATGAAGTTTTGTTTTGTTTTGTTCATTTTTAAAAGGGGATTACTGAAATATTTCTGAGCTCAGCATCTTCATTGTCGTTTGAAAAAGACCGATGTATATATACCATGAAGCAAAACATTCCGTTTACCTGTTGAACAATCTGTATGTGGGGCTGCTTTCAGTGGAGGTCCTTGTATATCGATTGTCCCCGAAGATAATAATAGTAATAATAATGATAATGATAGTAATAATAATATTATTTAAAATAATGATAAAAATAATAATTATAGTAATTATAATCATTTAAAAGAAATAATGGTAATATTAATAATAATGAAAATAATGATAAAAATAATAATGATAATAATAATATAATAATAATAATGATAATAATAATAACTGAAGTTTATATTTCTTTATTTTTACTTTTGAGTTTGTGTTCTTGGCTCAGACAGTCTTTATAAGATGTAATTTTCTAAATGTTGAAGTTGGTGTCTCTCTTGTGAGTACTGCACGTGCTTACAGTTTGTGTTTTTTGTTTCCTTTCAGTGTGTGACCCTGTGATGGGAGACAATGGGAGACTGGTAGGTAGATTTTGTATTCTTTGACTAATGTATCCCAACCTCAATTGCTTATAACAATTTTATCAGTAATCACCTGTGACAATTTTTTTGTTTACTACCCTTTTCAAGATACCTTTTTGTCATTTAGTCTTGAGTAAGGTGTGTGGGTGGTTGACGGGTGCTCTGGTATGGTTTGCTCCTTCTCTCTTCTCTTGTCAGATGTCTATCGTCCTGATCCCTCCATCTTTTTTGTGTTTGTTACTCTCTTGTAACACCTCTAATCTTCGGCACTTATATGACCTTATTGTGTTGCAAGTGCCGTAAAACTCTTACTAAAACTTTAAAAAACTGAGTAAGATGTCTTGCATAAGGTTTCTGTCTCTTTTTAAGAAATGAACTCTGCTGATATTGTTGAGTCTCTTTTATCAGTCGCTGAATTGAATAAAGAAAAACATCACTGACAGGCAATCATTTATCACATGACTGTGAAGGTTAGATGCCTGTGGTGTAGCAGTAAGGCACTTCGCTGTCACACGCAGAAGACCCGAGTTTGATTCGCGAGTAGGAAGAAATTTTTTAAATTGAGAATCTTGGTCTTTCCGTTGGGATTATGTATTCCTCTCAGCTTGGGTTGGGCTCACGAAAGTGTTGGTATAGTCTGAAAGCCTGTTCATTTGTTTTGTTTATAATTTCTTTCTAATTACTCATTTAGCTTTAATAGAAGTCAAGATATCTGCAGTTGAAGGAGATCGGGGTTACCTGGTTTCAGAGGTTAAATTAGCGAAAAAAATGGCCATCAAAGTTTGGTGACTTCCAAAACTGTAGTGTCTTAGGAAACTGCAATTTTTATATTTTTTTGTGTGCCTTTGATCAACATCTTTTATTTGTGCAATCTACCCAGGAATATGTTATTAAATGGGTATAAAAGGTATTGAGCCTAAATTATCTGAAAATTGATAGAAATTCCCTTGAGGGCGGAAAAATGTCAGGTTTTTTTCAATTTCGTTATTTTGACGAGCGCCTGATTTCACCATGATGCCTCACCGTCGTTCTATCATATCCTATCTTTTACAGTATGTGAGTGAAAAACTGGTGCCCATCTACCGGACGGAGATTGCTGAACAGGCAGATATCATTACGCCGAACCAGTTTGAACTGGAGTAAGTTACCCCCCCCTCCCCCCCAAGAAGCGTTGACCTCTGACCTCTAACCTCTATGTCAATGTCATGCTCTTCTTTGCTTTTGATAAATTTTGACATTTTTACTAAATATCAGAGACTGGCTTTAAGTCATGTTCACAAGACTGATTGGGACTTTTCAGGAACATTAGCTCCTTATCTCTGGTAAGCAGCTCCCAGCGGCTAGTGATCGGAATTGCTGTCAGCGGCTCGAACACATTCCTTTACGATGACTTCGACATCAAACTACTCTTCAGCTATTTTCAAAAACAGGTCTCTTTTACTGGGAGTTCATTCATTAGATGAAGAAATATCTAAATAGGTTCACTTATTTTGATTTAATGACCAATTTAGTGATGTGTATGCCACTTTTAGATTTCACACTGAGAAAGGGCCCTAACATACTGGGTTTACCCCGTCAGAGATAAAAATTTAAGATTTTGTTGATTTCAATAAGTGAGTTGTTTCTCTGAAATACGCTTCCGCTCAACCTCTCAACCACCACCTCTTCTGTTGTTCCCTCCCTCCCTCCCCACCACCCCTCCCCTAACTTTCGCAGACAACTGACACAGCTCCCAGTCACCACGGAAACGGAAGCGTTCGCAGCCATGGAACAGCTGCACCAGCGCGGCGTCCGGGTGGTAGTGCTGAGCAGCAGCAATCTAGGTCAAGGTCAGGTGATGCTGTGTCTGGCCAGCAGCAGGGAAGGTGAGCGCACTGATGTATTTTTAGGAAGTGTTTTACGGCGTTTACAACACCGTTAAGTCATATAAGGGCCAATGGTTGGTGATACTGGTTAAAGTCAAACTTTCCAAGATGCCCACCCATTGTTGAAGAGAAAAGTAGTTGTCTTAGACAGGTAGTGGGTGGTTGGCAGGTGCTCTGGTGTGGTTTGCTCCTTCTTTCCTATCAAACATCTATTGCTGTTATCTCCCATACTTTTTTTGTATTTGTTACTTTCTTGTAACTTTTGTAATCTTCGGCACTTTTATGACCTGATATTGTGTTGCAAATGCTGTAAAACACTTACTAAAACTAATGTTTGATAAAACATTAAACTCATACTGAAGCAGACAAGCTACTAGTTTGGTTGTAAATGAGTGGAAATTTGTCTTGTCTACCCACATAAATGTTATGTATGTTCTTGTAGTTTTGCAACTCAATAAACGACTGGTTTTCTTTGAAAGCTTAATTTCTTCTTTTTTCAATTCAGAAACGTTTATAACTTCATTGGAAATATTTCCCCCAAAATGTCCTGGAGAATAATTTCCTCCCTTCAAATGTGTTTTTCTCAGCCTTGCACTTCACACAGAGTAAGTGCATGAATGTCAACTATCAAATGAGGTAGTAAAGCGTATTTCAAATAAAATCCTTCTGGAACTGACAGTTTTGTAACAATTTGAATCTCGTTCCACAAAATGATTTTCAGAAACCTCATCAATACAGAACTGGGGGCTCCAGTGGTTAGGTGATTAATGAACACAGGTTAATGTGTGTTTTCTTAGGTAAAATATGTTAACCCAAGCTTTTTCATGGAACTCACTGTTAAATGCATCTATTTTTCAGGCAGCACTACGAAGAAATACAGACTGAAAATTCCCAAACTTGACGCTCCTTTTGTGGGCACCGGTGACCTCTTTGCTGCGTCGCTTTTGACGTGGATGGACAAGGAGAAAAACTTGAAGGTTTGTCGCTGTGCTTGTGTGTAGTTTCTGGTTTGTGCTGGTTCCATCCCACACCTCACCCAGTGCCCTTACGTCTGTCTGAAATTTTTAAAAATTTATGTGTCTACTTTATATTGTATCCAAATTTGACGTGGATGGGCAAGCAGAAAAATCTGAAGGTTTTAGTTTCAGTAAGGTTTTACGGCACTCCCAACTCCCTCTGGTCATATGAGTGTCAAGGGGTTGATGTCAACAGAGAAGTCCAAACGGGGAATCAGGCATACTCTGCTCACCTCTCTAGCCTCAACAGCACAAAGTCTGCTTCGACTATCGAGGCACCCCGGAAATAGCAGTTCACAAGAGAGTGACACCGTACAAAAGATGAGGAGGAAAAATGACAATAGTAAGGATGAGGAAACAAAAAGCAGCAGTTCCCCCCATGTTGTTCCGGCAGAGTATGAACATGACATTGAAAAATCAGCCCATTTACAATTCTACTGAGCATAAGAACATGTTAATATCCCCCTTTGGGAATGGCCTAAAAACAACTTCAATCAGTAGCACTGCCCTGGGGGGGGGGGGGGCTGAAGGTTTGTCGCTGTGGTTGTGTGTAGTTTCTGGTTTGTCTTGGTTCCATCCCACACCTCACCCCGCGCCCCTACGTCTGTCAGAGATTTTAAAAAATTTTTGGAACTCCTTTTTAGTGTATCCAATTTTTTAAAGGCTTTTTAGTTTCATTCTACATTTTCTCCAATGGTAGTGGTTCTGCTCCTTCTTTCCCATCAAACATCTATCTTCCTTTAAATCTTTCCTCCTTCTTTTATATGTTTGTTACTGTCTTGTAACACCTCCAACTCTAATCTTCAGCTCTTTGTGTCCTATTTGTGTTGCAAGGGCTGTAAAACTCTTACAAAAGCTAAATCTCCAATGATGATGGAGATGGTAATTTTGGTTAATGATGAAATAATTCACATGTGTAGACCATGAACTCTGTGCTCAGTTGGGGAACAGACCCATCTGTCTGGCCTGCTTCTGTCTTTTAAATCATCCACTGGTCACAGCTGCAGTCAAAATTAAAATTTGTGCTCGTAATTTAGCTCAGCATACAATTTTAGAAGCATGCTTTCCCGAAGCAATAAAAGAAAGAATGAGAATTTTGTCAAAAATGCTCTATCTATTTTATAGTGTGTGATCTTTTGCCCTCTTTTTTTTTTTAATTTCGTGAAAAATTTTCCTAGAGCACAAAATGACAGTATTTTTGTTGAAATAGTGCTGTTTTATAACTGGTTAACATTTTCGATGTGGTTTCCATCATTTTTTACTTAATGTTTATATCTATATCTACATCTATATATATAATTTCTACTTTGTCTGTCTCTCAGGGTGCTCTGGAGAGGACAGTCAGCATTGTGCAGAAAGTCATCAAAAGAACTTTGGAGCAAGCTCAAAGTAAGCAAAGACCCCCCCCCCCCCCCCCCCGGGGCAGTGCCACTGACTGAAGTGTCTTTAGGTTGGTTGGTGGGTGCTCTGGTGTGATTTGCTCCTTCTTTGCTATCAAATATATCGTCTTTATCTCCCTTACTTTTTTTTGTGATGATTACTCTTTTATAACAACTGCAATCTTCTGAGCTTATGGGACTGTACATTCCAACTCGCTGTTTAAGGTCATCAGCTGACAAAAAGAAATTTCTTTTACCATCTATGAAACTTAAAACATGGGTGAAAGGGCATTTGAATGTCAAGGCCCCAAGATCTGGAATGCTTTTCAAAATACTTTAAGAGAGATCAAATCTTTTGATTCATTCCAATGTCAGCTGAAGTCATTTCTGTTTTAAAATTAATATGATGAATATTTGGAGTGATTTTCTTTTAGTCAGTACACATTTTATGTTACTGTTGTACATTGTACTGTATTGTAAAGTGCTCAGAACCTGTGTATACTTTAATTGAGGTTGATGGCTATATTAATGTCATCTATTATTATTATTGTTTTTATTGTACGATCTTATTGTGTTGCAAGAGCCGTTAAACACTCACTTGTCGGTGGTTGGTGGATGCTCTGGTGTGGTTTGCTCCTTCTTTCCTATCAAACATCTATCGTCCTTATCTCCCGTTCTTCTTTTTAATGTTTGTTACTCTCTTGTAACACCTCTAATCTTCTGGCTGCGCTCATTTGACCCTATGCAGTTGCGAGCACCGTAAAACCTCTACTCAAGCTAAAAAAACAAACCTACTGAAACATAAACGTATTCCCAGGTCTGGCGGGCCCCGGTGTGCGCCCCAGTACGTCCCAGATGGAGCTCAGGTTGGTGCAGTCCAAGGCAGACATCGAAGACCCCGCGGTGGACATGATAGCGGAGGAGGTTCAGTGACGACCCCACGGCATAGTGGGAGGGGGGGGAGCCCATGATAGAGTGTGATAATCAGGGATCAAAGCACTGTTGTTGACCTCAGCTCATCCGTCATCGACATCTTCACGTCACCGAGACTGTGTTCTCGGATGTGTTCTGGTTGCAGGAAAGCAGGGATTTTCTTTTTACTAGAACTCTTTCCTTTCTGTCTTTCTTTCTTTCTATCTTTTTATCTCTCTGTCTCTCTCTCTGTCTCTCTCTCTCTCTCTCTCTCTCTCCCTTTCTCTCTCTCTCTCTCTCTCCCTTTCTCTCTCTCTCTGTCTCTCTGTCTCTCTCTCTCCCTCTCTCTCTCTCTCTCTCTCTCTCTCTCTCTCCCTCTCTCTCTCTCTCTCTCTCTCTCTCTCTCTCTCTCTCTCTCTCTCTCTCTCTCACTCTCTCTCTCTTAAAAGAGGACTTTGCCTTTCACTAGATATAATTGAGGACGAATCCTCAAGAGTTTCATGAAACATCTGTCCTGCTTTGAACTCAGCACAATGCCGAGAAAAGTCAGGAACAGGTACCACACTTTGATCTTAGCCAAAATGCCGAGAAACGATGACTGTTAGTCTTCTTTTCTGATTCCTGTCTCAACCTAATCTTTTGCTTGTCGACTCTTTTTTTTAGACACTGTCCTCATTTGTCACGTTTTAGAGGCTGAAATTTTCTCACTGCCCGTCTTCATCTTGTATTTTCAAGTGGGGCATTAAATAGCACCTGTCACTGCTCGGATGATCTCCACAGCCCACCAAAATGACCAATTCTTCCACTAGGGGGTGTTATTGCTCAGGCTGGCAAGCACTGATTTAATCGCTTTGCCTTAGCAAGTTGGCATTTTTGTCATGGTCATAAGCTAGAGTCAAAGGAATATAAACTGCTTACAGACGGACAGGGATTGAAATCGAGAGAAACATTCTTCCCTCTAGAAGTGCTTGTGATATATATATAAAAATGCAGTTGCTTTGAAATTGGACGCGTGTCCCCTATTTTTATTGCACTCAAAAGATTTTTTTTCCAGTAATGTTTTATTGCATTCCTTAAGGAGTTTGTGCCATGCACTCTTGAAGTCCCAACGAATGAGTTCTGTAAGATTCCAAGTGTTGACCGGCTTAGTCTTTTTATGTTTTAGAAGTTAATGTATTCTGTGTGAGCAAAAGTACTGTATATCATCGCATATAGAACGCAACATTTTGCGTACGACATCAGGGTTTCAAGGTCGTCCTGCAAGTTATCAGTGGGATTCGAAATGAATGTATGTGAGGCATCTTGATGATATCAGGCGCTTTTCAAAATAATGAAATCAATGAAAAAGGCAGTTTTCCATCATTTATCAACTGTATAGAATTCTTGGCTTTTGGTTCAACACTTTTTATATCTATTTAAAAAACAAATGTTTTTATGGGTTTTTTTATATCCATTTAAGAAGCAGATTTTTGTATGGATTTTAGTGAAAAATTTTACCTAAAGGCACAAAAATATAAATTTTTTGTTTCCAAGGTCTCTCAAGCTCCGGAAGTCACCAAACTTTGGTGGCTATTTTCTCACTAGTTTTACCTCTGAAACCAGACTACCTTTACCACCTTCTATTACAAATATCTCAACATATATTCAAAATAGATGGGTATTTTTTTCATCCAAATCAATACAAACGATATCAACAACTCCACATGCCCAAAAATGCAAAAACGTCTGATTCCACCGTGTTGTGAAAACGTATGACTTGTACCAAAACTTTGGCTCTCAAGTAAATCTGCATCTTTCTTATCCAACAATTGTCCTATTTGCGATGATATACAGTATCCAACTGACAAGATTTTAATGCCTATGTTGAGTGAAGAATAACCTGACTAGCACTTGTATTTTTGATGTTCTCTTTTTTTGGTGATAATCCAGGTGTGGAGTTTATTTAAAAACATTGTTTCTGAACGCACGTCTTTGCATTTTGTTTTTGTTACGATGTTAGAACTGTGGTATTTTCTTGACTCTCTGGAGACACTTGTTTCTTTTTTGTTGATTCAGTAAATAGTCACATGAAGGAAGGACCAGTTTGTAGGTTAGTGGTTCGGCTACCGGACTCGTAATCCTGAGGTTGCGGGTTCGGGGGTTCATGCCGTTGGCCCGACGTTGTGTCCTTGGGAATGACACTTTACACAAATTTTTCCTCACTACACCCAGGTAGGAATGGGTTCCCGGCCATAGACAGCGAAAGATCTTGTCAGTATGTAGTGTTTTAACGTCTATAAATGGCCGCTTGCACTGTATGCTTCCTAGGAAGTTGAGGTTGTTTCAGAATGCTCTCAGGTCTGCTGGGGTAATAGTATAGATTGTGAAGCGCATAGAGCTTGCTGTTGAGCAGGGATTTGCGCTATACAAATGCTATCTATGATTATTAGATGAATGTGTTTTTACACCCCCATCGATACCATTTAGATCTTTTAAGAGGTGAGGTTTCCAACCTTCCTTGTCGGGGCCAACTCGGGCTGAGGGGGACACCACAACCTAACTGAAAGATGGAGATACTCGATAAAGAATTCTACCCTTTCGGGAATCGAACATGGGTCTCCTGTGTGCGACAGCAAAACACCTAACTGTTACACCAGTGACCCCAGTGAAGTGTTTGTGCTGCTGGTTAAGCCAAAATGTCCTGTCATAGTTATAGTTGACCATGTGATGATGTTTGTTTTCGCCGACCCTTACTTCCGATGTCAGTTTCTGTGTGATGAAGCGGAAGTTGGAGAAGATCTGTATGTCATTTTATTTATGATGGATTTTGGTCTGACTGTGTGAGGGTAGTGAGAGGCCTCAGCGAGAGGGAGGGCTCACCAGTTTTCACTGGGTTCAGCCTGTTCATAGCCACTTAAATATTATTGTCACCCTCCCCATGGATCGATAACAACTTAACAACAAGTATAACTGTCCTGAATTTTAGTTGTGAAAACAGATACGTTTTTAACAGAAGAATATCTCACATGGTCATACGTCGTGATGCACTGGAAAACACTTAGCAAAGCACACACACAAAAAAGTCAACAAAAAAAGAATTATGTTTTTGCCTAGAACTCAGAAAAAATTCCAACTCCAACACACCAGCAGGCTGCAAGTAGTCTGTATTGTATGATCTCTATCTGTTCAAATAAGTGAGGTGTGGGGGGGGGGGGGGGGGGAGGGGGTGCAGTATATAGTGGATTATGATAGATAAGACAAAGCTAACCCCAGGGCCTCCAAAATCCGGGTCTTCTGGTCACTATCTTCCTCCTCCTCCTACTTCCTCTTACCTCACTCAGAATCTCAGCAATGTAGTGAATGCTATATAGTGTAGGTGAGAGTGTGATTCTGAAAGTTTTTGGTCTGTCTGCTGAAGATGGATGTCAACAGTTTAATAAAATTGATTTCAAAATCCAATGAAGATAAGACGTGATTTAGCCCCAACCTCCAAAATTAGTAATACCCTGAGTGTGTGGTAGAAAAGTGTGGCGTCGGTGACCTAGTGGTTAGGCTACCAGACTCGTAATCATGAGGTTGCAGGGTCGGGGTTCGAGCCTCGGGCCCAATGTTGTGTCCTTGGGAAAGACACTTTACACAAATTTTCCTCACTTCACCCAGGTGGAAATGGGTACCTGGCCATAGACAGTGAAAGATTTTGTCAGTATGTTAGTGTTTTAGCGCCTATAAATGTCTGCTTGTACTGTTTGCTTCCCAGGAAGTTGAGTTTGTTTCAGAATGCTCTCAGGTCTGCTGGGGTAATAGTATAGATTGTGAAGCGCATAGAGCTTGCTGTTGAACGGGGATTTGCGCTATACAAACGCTATCTATTATTATTCTATTATTATTTAGTGCGTTGTTGTTTTTTCTGACTTATGTAGGCCAATGTGTTTGGCTTAAATGGATTTCTTGTGAACACGTGTTTGTTTTGAATATGTTTATGTATGGGCGAGGTAATTGTGATGAAAATTTGATATCCTGTTTATGTGATGATTGTTATCTAGAATGTAACGGCAATACGTTGTTTTCCAGAATTGTTTTTGTCTTTGTTTTTTTTTAAGTAGTTGAATTTATACATGTGTGCATTGTTTATCAATCACCTTCCTTTCCGCATTTTATAATTATGCTAATCATTAATCAGATGATGGACTTGTAACGTCATGTTTTTGACCTTTAACCATGATGTGCTGTTATTTTAGCTGGGGTTTGTGGTTATACCAGAGAGGGTTTACAGTAATAACTGTCTGGTTATACACAGAGGGCCAGCCTTGTACAAGGAAGGAAAAGGGCCTGTGATGTTTTGTTGGGGTTTTTTTTTTCCTGTGGTCGTTAAAGAACAGTCAATCGTTTTATTACTCAGACGTGAACCTATGCTGAAGTCCTTTTTAGACTGAAGACTTTTCTTAATTTGTTGAGTCTTTGTTAAAGTTTTAAAAAGTGATTTTTACATTTCTTGACTTTGTTTGGGGGTTGGGTTGGTTGGGGGGGGGGGGGGGAGGAAGAGGAAACACAACTTTATTTATCCCCGAATGGGAAATAGTTGGGCAGCTAGATATAGCTTTACAAACTGAAACTAAGAGCACAGCATTCCTGGTCGCTGCTGTTTCTGAGCTAAGGTTATAATGTCTGGCTGAAGAACACCCGCCAGTTAAACCCACCTACCAAGACGTCTACAGTTTTTCCTATGTTTGTTTGCTTGAGTAAAGAGAAGCATATATGCATGTAGGCACAATAGAGAGCTGTGTTCACAGGTGATTTGGGCACTATAGAAATGATCTACATTATCATTATTATTATAAGCCCTGGGAACAGGCAAGACAGGAACAAAAGAGAGATTATAAAGAAGTGATCATGAATGATTATGCAGTACTTGATGAAGAAGAAGAAGAAGAAGAATTATTCTTTAGTACGGTACATAGTACATGAAGTGAGCTCTGAGCCCTGATATGGTGTCGATCTGTGTGCAAAACATCTATGGCTGTTATTTTGCTAGGATTTTGTCATTTGTGGGGAAGCCTATTGAGGGATGAAAAACAGCATGTTACGTTACCTGAAGGAGTTAGTCTAGATCTAGTACTGCCCTTTTGGCCCAGGTAATGGGAGGATTGACCCTCATGGATCATTTTCTATGTTTGTTGCCCAAGATTGAATCAAGGTTCACATATAAGTTAGGCACAGAAAAATCTCCCACTACGTACTTTTATTTTTGCACAGTAACAGTGATT